GAGTGAGTGAGAGAGAGAGAGAGAGAGAGAGAGAGAGAGAGTATACAACTACTGGAACTTACCTCAGAGTCCGCAACATGCGTGTGGCCCTCCCGCTTGGGTATGGCCGTCCCTGTCGTGATACTCCCCACAGAGCTGGTGGTAGCAGAGGTGTTAAATGAAAACGGTACTTGCAGCTTGCGCAACGACTCCTGGAAATGACGCTGCACTAGTGCCTGGGCATCAGAGGGCGGGTATTCCTGGGGTAGAGGGGTAGTAAGAGGTACAATCTGGCAATGCACTTGAAGACAGGCAGAGAAATGGGATAAGTACCTAAGAGCAACATGGGATATGGTCGACTCTCGTTATTACAAAATTTGCGAAAACCAGGTAGAAACGTTTGTTGTATCTGAAATTTGTTCTAGGCAGAACACAGTGGAATGGCTTCAGTGCATTGCATGAATAGGTCCAATTGTGTGCAATGCAATGTACAATGTACTGAACATGCATACCCATGAACATGGTTGATGTTAAATTAATGATATCAAAAAGATCTCTCGGTTATGATTGATCAAATAAACTTCACTGTCATATGACAACATATTTAATATGCATGTGAGATAAAAAGCAAATACATGTGAAAGCATCGACCCAGGGATTTTTAAAAGACTTTCAATCGCCATGGATGACGACGAAGCTACATGGAACAGTAATTAAACAGCATACACATGTAGGTCTGTGTGTACCTGCAAGAATGTGAAGATTCATCAACTGGAGCCCCCATCCATGTAAGTAGTCTTTCCAACACAAATTGTGTCATGGAGAGACATTTTTATTCAATTTTCTGTTTGTCTTTTGATTTCCAACACTAGCTGCATGACCATGATTGATCGATAGTCCGAGTTCACGAGCCCACTGCGGCGTGGCCGCCCGCACATGAGATGGTCAATGAAGAAGCATGATGTCATGAAGGAATATTGCTATTGGATAGCTTTGTCATGCAAAATGTACATCATTTAACCACACAGTCTCATTAGTAGGTGCACGAGATATTTTTGCATTAGTTGGGCTCTTGAGATGCAAGACTAGTCAAGCGACTTATTTGGGGCATATTTTTTATCAGAATTGGGAAGGGAATTTTTGTTTTGGCGTTTGTGTAATCAGTGTAAAAACTCATTGATTTTTTAATTGTGCACTCTGCTTGTCATAACGACAGGAAACTAGCAAACGATGTCTGTATATCGTGTTGTAAGCCGTGGGTGACGCATCTGGAGGGGCGGGTGATAAGCCTGGTGCTGCGCCTGGAAATTTTGTGGAAACACGCTCGCTTCGAGTACGAGCAGCACAACCTCAAATTAAATTCACGAACACAGAAAATACAAACACAGACACGAGATCGATTTTTGTGAATGAACCTGCAGAAAATTTGTGACGCCATTGTTTTTCGACTTGTAACTGTAGAGCTGCATTCGTATATGATGTACATGAAGTAGAACGTACAACCCTTTTTTGGCAGAATCATACATTGACTGGTTGCTACATTTCCATCATGCCTTCTTTGGCAACGATTCAGCCCGGCAGGAAACTGAGTGGTGCACTGCGCACGTGTTTTCACCACCATGATTTGCAAACGCTCTTAAAAATGGGTCGTCAACAATGGTTTTTCAGGAACCAGAGAAAACCTTTCGTTGTAACAGGAATTTTGTATGATGCGATTTCGCAGTAACAGATTTTCTCCCTATGGAAATGTGCATGTTTTCACCGGGCCCAAAAATGTGCATGTAGTTTAACCGGAATTTCATTATCGCTGATTTCGTAATAACGAGAGTCGACTGTACGTGAAAAAAACTTATGTATGTTAAATTACATGTTGTGACAGTACTGACTCAGAGACTTGCTGTATGCATCTGATTCTTATTGGTGAATTTCACGCAATTGTTTACTACAAGTATTCTGGGGAGTTTAATTTGTACAAGAGATGCGCATCATAGGAGGCATCAAATCTCAAATATGCGAATGGTTTACTTCACTTCATGTGCTATGGCGTTCCACAAATTCATATCAACAACCAGTGCACATGGACAGAGAGATTTGCTGTATGCATCTGATTCTTATTGGTGAATTTCACGCACAAATTCATATCAACAACCAGTGCACATGGACAGAGAGATTTGCAGGCTGTACCTGGTAATGTCTAACTGTGGTATCCCGTCCATTGTCATGTGGTGCAGGCACTGCTTTGTGAGGAGGAGGCTGCGAGGTTGGTCGAGGTGTGTGCAACTTGCTGTCTTGGTGTGACTGCCCCTGTGCCTGAGCCTGCTGTGACTTCTCTTGGTGCTGCTGCTGCTGTTGCTGTTGTTGCTGCTGCTGCGAGTGGTGTAGGTGGCTGAGCTCCTCGGGGTGCACCACCCAAGCTGTGGGCAATCCCATGGAAGCAGCATGCTGCTGCTGCTGCTGCTGCCACAGCGCCTGCAGCTGAGCTGCCGACATCCCACCTGGGTGTAGCCCTTGCGCCTGGAGCTGAGCCAGCAGCTGAGGGCTGATGAGAGTGGGGTAGCCTAGTTGAGGTCTCAGGCGAGCAATGGTATCCTGATGGATGAACCCTGCCACGTGGGAGGGGTGCAGGTGCTGCTGTTCCAGGGCTGCCAGGTGTGGGGTGGCAGCATAGGAGGACAGTCCATGGGGCGTCAGTGGGTGAGGGTACATGTGAACCTGGGAAAACATTGGACGGCGTTGTAAGGAGGGATGTCCTGGAATGTGGCCCGCTGACGGGATGGTCCCTGCAGAAGGCACAAATGCACTGGGTTTGACTCCAATACCTGTGGGTGTGGCACGGAGAGTACTGTGGGGCGAGGGGCCTAAGATCTTGTGGCTGGGGGATGGGGTGTGCTCCCTACTTAGATGGCGGAAGTGCTGGATTGATTCAATGTGTGTGACTGAGGAATCCACCAGATTTGGGTCCCGATACACTTGAACTGGTTCCGATGTGTACAGGGGCGCTTTGGCACTTGAAGGACTTTTGGAGCGGGTCTCCTTCCTTGAATCAGATTCAGAATTATCAGACTCCTGCCTGGGGTCCTTTAGTTCTTCGGTCTCATATGATGATTTTGAGGTTACAGTCTTGGGCTCACCACTCCCGTTCTCTTCTTCCTGCTTTTCAGAGTCTGACTTGGAATCTTTGCCTGGAACAGCTACAGTTTTCTCTTCCTCTTCACCTGCTGCCTTTGGTTCAACACTCGGTCCCTCTTCTCTCAAGGGTGACTTTTGCTCAGAGGAAGGAGGTGCAGTGACTGACTCTGCATCAAAATTCTGACTGACAGGATTGAGTTTGGAAATGACAGTGACAGGATTAGGTGCTGGATTAGTCCAAACTGCTGATGGGTTGACATTGACAGAGTTCAGAGTAGTGGATACAACCGGGGCAGTGGCTGGTATAGTGGAGGTAGTGATAGTTGAGGCAGTCCTGGCTGTCACAGAACCAACTGTGCTCTCGCTTGTTGCATCATCAAAATGAAACAAGTTGGCTCCTGTAGGATCTGGCACTCGAGGTGGTTCCCATGCTCGGGATGTTGAGTCTTTGCTCTGAGGAAACTGCTGTTCCCTCCTTTCCAAATCCCGAGTCACCTCCCGTGTTATAATGTTCTCAACACACTGCGAAAAAAAGCTTGTAACACTTGGCACAGTCGCCGATGTAAATATACTTGTGTTAGAGCTCTGTTGACCTGGGGGTTCAACAACAATGGATGTGGGCACCTCCTGTTGGCTGTCTGCTGAAGATGGCTCACTTTCACCTTTGGATTTGGTCTCCCGGGTTTTGGACCTGTGCTTGCTTTTGTGATGTTTCCGCTCTGTGTGCACAATGTCCCTGCTGTCACCAGACACAAGGCCAGCGTTATCTTTGGTTTCAGATTTTTTATCCTCGTTGCTGTGCTTGCGCGATTTGCTGCGGTGGCGGCTGGAGTGCTTCTCGTGATCTGGCGAGCGCGAGGAGTGATGGTGGTGGTGCTTGCGTTCCTTTTTCTCTTTCTTCTCCTCCTTGGATTTCTTCTCCTCCTTGCCTTCCCGTTTCTCCTCCTTCTCTCTCTTTGCCTCCTTCTTCTCTTCTTTTGTCTGAGTCTTTTCGCTCTTCTTCTCCTCTTTGGAGTTTGGTTCTTCACCTCCGGATTTTGCTCCCTCGGGCGCCTTCTCTTTTTCCTTCACCTTCTCCTTGTCCAGTGACAACTCTGAGCTAGCTGAGTGAGACAGAGGCCTTTTGGGTGAGGTCACAAGTCTCTTAGGATCTTCAGGTGCAATGGGGTCACACGCTTTCCTTTTTCGATCCTTCTTGGACTTGTGGTTGCTGGATGACTTCTCCTTGGTAATTTTCTCTGTGGAAGATACAAAAGTGAGAATTAAGAATATCTATTTTCATAGTATAGCTTTAATTATTTTTGTTGGCACAAACATAATTATTGCTATACAGAAGCATACAGTACACACAGAACAAAAAAGTTGTTATCTGAGGATTCGAAAGTCAAACTTCCCTTCAAAATATACTTCATATATTTGAAAACAAGCCGAGTCAGATTTCACATTTTATTCTTCTATTGTGCCTTAACACAACAAAGATGTTCAGGAACAAGGCTGCCCCAATATTTATATGTCATCTGCATGTACATGCAGCAAAAGGCAACTAGGAAGGTCATGGGTCACTTTCCACAACTCTGTGCATGGTGCACTGCAGTTTCCCTTGCTTGAAAGTTTCGCTAGAGGAGAGGCAAAGCCCTGTGTTGTACCAGCTGTTACTTAAAAAGACCGAGGTTTGACCTACTTCACAATGCCTCTATTTCAACAACAAGTGGCCAATTCTCTAGCACACCCCCCCCACCAAATCTAGCCAGGAATAGCAGTTACAATTGCTATCCAACAATTCAGCCCAGGCCAGACAATAGCCCTGTCTTTGGGGACAGCAGACGAAGCCATGAGAACGCCCGCACAAGCAAGCTCAGACACCATGCCTTGCACAATGCAACATTTTGATAACTTCAACCTTAATCCGCTCTATTCAACCACAAGGGGGATTGGCACAACAGGCTTGGAAATTCTTCAAGAAAAAGGAGCAAAATTATCCTGCACTGTATGGCAGCTCAATGCCGCAGGGATAAAATGTGTCCGGGGATAAACTCATGTTTTCTTCAACTCGATCATGGAGCTGAGTTTTTATTATCACAACTTTACAGTGTGGGAGGGGGAGAAGAATAAAAAAAAAATGCACACAGTACATGTACAATATACAAAAACTCCAGTAATTTGTGCCCTAGGGGTGCAGTCCATGCTTCCTGGGAAAGAAAAACAACACCTCTGAATAAAGCTAAGGGGGGTACTTGACAGATTCAGGGTCACCTGAGGAGGACAGCTTGGGTCAAAATCGCTACCTTCCCTCTTTCAGCCTCTAAAAAACTCAAACCTCTGAACAAACAAATTCTGGTTGAACAGTCCCTCTGAACAGAGAGGACCTGTGTCTCATGAACAGTTTACAACCCGTTGTAGCTGTGATATTTCAAGCCAGTACCTTGCAAGGTTACATGTACTTAAGTGGTTTATCTTCATTTCTTCTACATTTGATGCAGACCATTTTGTTGAAAGTGGAGGAGCCAAGGTAATGGATCAGTTCTTGTTTGTTTGTTTTCCTTTGTTTTTGGTTTTTTCCTTTCCTGCAAACTGTGAAACCCTCAAAGGAAGTGACACCCTGAGTTTTCAAGGAGATAGAATACCCTGCCAAATAAACCAAGGGAATCCATAATTCAATTAAGAGGGCTTCCTCAGAAGCCTGGGGGTGGATAGCCAGTGTAAGTAATATGACTGTGATGTTCTGCATTGGCCAAGGGGAAATCACATTTGTTGATGGGCATAACACTTTTCAAGTAGGCCAGTAAAAGTGTAGTTCAGGGGGGAAAAAAAAAGGATAAACAAAAAAAAAATAAAAAAACAAGGAAACTGTTGAAATGTATAACGTTTTGCAAAGAGGTTATATAATATGGTAAATGCATTTCCACACAATGACAAAAATATCAGTGGTTTTCAATTTAGCAGTAATCCATCATTCTTTTGACATTAGAAATAATTTACACAAATACATGCATGTATAAATGTACAATTAGGAGATGTTCTATTGGACAGATCCAATGAACAGATCAAATTGATGAAAGTAACAGGCCTGAACTCAGAGTGCTGGTGTCATTCACATGTAAATGGCAAAACATTTGATGGCACTGACTTGCCAAAGGAAAATAGCAATGGAACTCATCCAGTGAATGACTGAAGGCCATTCTCTAATGGATCTGGACTAACTCTCTCAGGAATTCAGGTCTCTGGCCTTGTCCTACTCTGTTCTAGGTTTCCTTCACACAGCAGTCTCCACAACAAACAACAACATGAGTGAAAAAAAAGCCAAAAACTTTCATATGTTGCTAATGCACACCATGGGCAATGCACGTAAAATAAATCAAGCTATCTTACTGACTATAGTAATTGAATTTGGAGACTGTTACTGCTTACAGACTATGGGCACTGTGCCATGATGTTTGGCATATTTTTAAGATGTTAATTTGGGAAAAACAATACCAAAAGTGGGTTTAAATTGAACAGGTCTTTCTACCATCTGCCCCACAATATACAGTAACTGCAACATGAGCTGCAGCACGACACAACACTGAACAATTTACTGAGTGTCAAAAACTACAGATGGATGGCGGCAGTGCCATGCTTTATCTGATCAAGAGAGGCCATAAAAGCCTGATGACACCAACACAAATTCCCCCGGAATGCAAGAATTACCTGGACAAGTCCCCTTTACCCTTGACATTTTCATGTCTAACGACCTGCTTAAAGTCATGACATACAACAACTGTACATATATCTTTATATTGAAGAAGCTGAATACTTGGAGAATGTTTGGCCAGCTACACAATGGGAGGATAGATGGGGGGAGGGGGAGTGGCAAGGGAGGGCTCAGACAGCAGCGCAGGTGCATCTGACTGAAATGACATTTGCTCGGAGGGCCATTCCAGCTGTGACAGGTGCACTGTTTTTAAACTGCAGGGGGTTGGAAATGAAGGCTTGGCGATGGACATCTTTTGTCACAATGCCCACACAACAAGCGCCAGTCCACTAGTATTTCACACCAGAGTTCGATGGTGGATACAACCATACAACTGATCTTAAACTGCTTGAAATCTCCATGCGCATAAATCTTCATAGCATGTACGTGTACATGTAGCAAAAAGTGTAACATAAACCTCTGGTAGATTTCACATTAAAATGTACATGTAACATGTCTGGGATGTTTTTGGGGAACAATCTTCTATACGCTCCTCTGCTCTCCTGAAAGTAGGAGAGGTGTCTCATCTCTTGGATTTAAGCATTTTGAAAGGGAAATACTACTTGTATGTACTCCCACTGAAAATTTCAAACTCCAATAAAATGTTCATGTCAGAGGTAACATTGGAGGAAAGTGACACATTCATGAAAAAATCACCACAGGTTTTGAGGGCCTGAAGCAGTGTACCATCTAGGGTGAACATTTGTAATTTACAAAGGGCCCAATAACCATTTCTCATGCCCTATATCAACTTTAATATATTAAAAACGCCTGAACTGTAAACTCAAGATTTTCCATTTTCCAAAGAGATTGTTTGAAAAATCATGACAACTATCCATTATTTCATTTGTTTTACTGTAGCAAATATGTGGTTGATTACCTAAACAAATATAATATCCTATTCGATCCTTGATTCTTTTAAAAAGAACAAAATTTGGGTGATATTACACAATGAAAACAAATCACTCTGATGTTCTGTCAGACAGGACATTTAGCTTGTTAATACTTTCATCAGCAAACAGTAAAGAGCACCATCACAAGCAAGTCAGGCCAGGTCTACCTTCTACGAGGATTTTTGAGAGGTCTTTGGGGATGTAAGGATGCAACTTATAAATATTTATGAGCAAGGCAGCAGCACAGGAGAGCTTATGAACTTCATTTTGAATTAACACGAAAACAGCCTTGATTTTGTGATGAATCAAATACAAATTTTATGTGAGTTGGTATTCGCATATATACAAAATGCAACTTAATTTCCTTGGCATGTATGGATTTCCACTGACTTTTGTTCCTTCAGTCTTTTTTTAGAGGATTTATGTCATCACTGAATCACTAGTAAAATTAAGCTCTTCAAATCTTATCCACAAAATCCCTATGGGGAAAAAGCCCACAACAAAACAGAACACCACTAAACCCACATAAGAAAGTTCATGATGTAATCCAAATGAGGTGAATCAGCAGGTGTACAAAGTAGATAACAGGGATGGAATTTCCATTATGACAGCTTTCTAATCAATCTTTGCATTCATGTACCTGTACAGTAACTGACAACAGACAAACCAATCTACAGAAGTAGAATGTGTTTTAAAGGTATTAATTGGAGAACTTGGATTTCAAAGACGGCAATAATACATCATCAAGTCCATACATGTGTAGATCCACAAGTGTAATAACAAAGAAGCAAAACACTGAAAACTTGTTTTGACAAAGAAAGATGGCATTTCCTGATGCTTGCTGACACTTTTACACTGCAGACTGTATCTCTGATGCTGTTTACGCTTCTGACTTCCAATAATGCCAGGGAACCTTTACTTCAAGTACAGTGCTCAAGGCAAATGACAACATGGGGGAAAAAACAAGCAGTTCACAACTGCAGCCAATGAAAAGGTCCCAAAGGAAATGAATGACACTGGCAGTACCTTCAAGAAATCCATTCTGTGTGAGAAAAGGTAAAGGGGGGGGGGAGAGAAATAACATAACTGTCCTGGCTCTGCCAGCATGGGGCACAGCACCTGTGTGTCAGGTGAAAGTCTTCAATAGCCAATCGCCCTGGCAACCAACACCCCCTTGGACGCAAAAGGTTAGAGGATCTGCTCCAATATGTCACAGTGGCTGTTGTGATGGCTATCACACACAATTCCCCTCGGATTGTAGGGGCCCCCATGTGCTTCAGAGGGAAAATGAGATTTCAGATTTACTCTGCAAGCAAGCACTCCATTGCCTGATTCTTTTCACACTTCACCATTAGGGCAACAGGGACTCTCACACACTACACTGGATCCTTACTCCCTCACAGGCAATCATTCCCCTTCCAAACTGCATGCCATGTTGGCAACTCAGAGCACAGCCAATCCCTGGGGGAATAGTCTCCAGTAATTTGATTTATGGGGGAAGTGACAACAATGAAATACCTGTCACAAGTTCTCCTGTTCAACTCACCAAATAAGTCTGTCCCACTGAAGTGATCTTTGGACTCCTCACAGTTGGGGAGGTGGGTAGTTTCGAAAT